CCTGGTTTCACGAGGCTTACCTGTGTCGATGAAGAAAGGCTTCTTTGTCGGGGCATCGCGTCCAGACTCCCCCGATCTGCCGACAAACAGCTGATCGGCAGATCGGGGCAGCCATTTAAATTTAAATGAAGCCGCGATTATTTTAATCGCGGCTTCATTTCCCTCTTCCGATCTCGCTAATCTACATGCCTCCGTCGAAGGAGGCATGTAGTCTAGACACACCCCTAGGGTATTATTAATGGGCCTCTTGGATGGTAAAATATCATCTGGTGCTGAATAGGTTTTTTTCCCCTCCTTCCTGATTTTCAAAGGGGTCACCAGTTTCTTCCTAGCATTGTCACTGCCCAATGTGATTCCAGAAGGCAGTGCTCACTCATCCCCATCTTGCAGTAGTTTTAAAAATTCCACTCGTGTTGCCTGTACTGCCTCTCGGGATGACAAACCCCCCATGGTCACTTGCATACAGTTACTTGGGAAACCCTCTTTACTTTAGCTAAGGAAACCTTGCACATAATAGTTCCTAACAGCCAGAGAACAGCAATGGTCACAAGAATAGAATGGGCATATGCAATTTCTCTTCCTTCAAAACCCTTTTTAGGAACATAAGATAGTGATCTCACTGCCTGAAGAACAGTCAGTATGAGAAAGGACCCATGTGTCTATAGCCATTGGATTTGGGAGGTGGAAGGTGAGTATGCATGTGTTTTGCATCCTCCAAAAACATCCAAGTAATTGGTAGCATCCAGGTCTTGGAAAAGGGGCTCCCAAGTTAGGGTAAGAAATGTTGTGTACTGAATAGTCAGGACATACATTTTATAGATTAATGTTTCATTAAGGTGCCCTCTTTAGACCAAAGTAGGGGACATGTGAGACAGCTATCATTTGTGTTGCCTGCTTATACATACAAAACCTAGAAGAGTTCTATTTTTAGACTGGAAGCCCACAACTGAAAATAGTACTGAAAATGTTTAGAAGTGTTTACTGATTTACTACAATACCCTGAAATATAAGTGAAACTCCAGGTGAATATAGTAGAACATAACATATCACATTTTGTTTTGAATGGGTCTTAAATATCATGTCATTCATCACCCATCACACACACACTGAGGAAATCCAGAGGGAAGGGTTTTTTTTTCAAGTATAAAAGAGTTAAAAAAAACCACACGTGCATATCTAATTTCCAAAAATATGTTTGTGAATAAAAAGATTGAGTTTAGTTTACTATGATTCACATGATCAGACTATTAGTTATTTTTAAACATTGGGATAACTGCTGGGTACAGGGGGAAAAATGTGAATCCATAAACTTTCACAGATTTCAGTGTAAATGATTGCCCAAAAATTCTGATGGTGTTATTTGTTACCCTCTAGTCACTTCTGTTATTCGCCTGCTTAAAAAGTTTAGGTAATCTAAACAGGAATTAGACACATAGTGATGTAATGATTAACCACACTGCTCCTAAAACACAGATAAAATAGTCAAAATGGATTCCTCACAAACAACCAATAAACTAATATTTATTAATAATGAATACCTAATGAAGACAATCACATTTGTTTTGCAAACAATTAACTGAAACCAACACTGGATTTATAACAAAAATACCCATAAAATATTTCAATATATAAATAAAGCTCTGGGTCATACAAATGATTGTGAATATTTCTGAGGTGATTCACCTGCTACCCAGACATGCATGTGTATCTAGGGGGCTTTAGAATGAACATTTTATTACAGTAGAAATTAATTTTTTCCAATTAAGGGCAGCAGCATCCATTAACTGGGTTGCAGATGACTGATTCCAGGGTGAATATTAGCTGAAGCATTAGGATAAATACTTTTGTTTTCTCTGAGTGTCTCTTAAGCTATCGATTATTATAGGTCATATGGAAACAACAAAAAGATTTGGGTTTGATTACTTGACTACATAGGCCATATTTGTTCATTTTAAAGCGACTATTTAAATCTGGAATGGGGAACCTTTTTTGGGTTAGAGGTCAGCCACTGTCCTACAAAGTTGGTCGGGGGCCACACAAATGAGAAGCAAAAAAACCAAACCCTCGTTGACATGGTCCCTGACTGAGGAGGAGAAAGAGGAGAAAGACGCTCCCCACATTCCCCTCACACACCAGAGCCCTGAGCCTCAGGGACTGGATCCACACAAGCTGGAGGCCACATCCAGCCCCTGGACCTTAGGTGCCTCACCTTGGTTTAAATCCTTGTGTTGCTATTTCTGTGTCTGTGTTTAATGTTAAGATAAGTGTGAGAGAGAGCACAAGACCAAAAAAGCCAGGATAAATTGAAATTTGTTTCTATTTACATGTAAGACTACTTCTCTTATGAAACAGGGAATTAAGTAAAT